AACACAAACCTGCCACGGAACCCACCGGTGTCGTCAGCAAACCAGCAGAAGCTGCATGTGGTTACTACTGCACGCCAACAAGATACAGAGTCAGGTACCATCATCCTGTGCCAGGTTCTGTTCACCCTTCAGTAGACGTGGAGAGTAGCCATCACAAGTTACCAGTGTTTAATTCTTTGAGGGTCTTTTTATTTTGTTTTGGGGTTTTTTTTGTTGTTGTTGGGGTTTTTTCTTTTGTGTGTGTGGTGGTTTGTGTTTATTTTTGGTTTTGGTGTTTGTTTGTTTTTTGGTCTTTGTTTTTGGCGTTGTTTTGGGGGGGGGGGTTGTTTTGGTGGGTTTTTTTTCTTTTTTTTTTCCTTTATTTTTTTCTTTTTCTTTTTCCCAGCAGAATGTTGCTTTTAAATCTAGTGGCTTTCAGGCTTGGGGTGGTAAATCCTGTTTTATGTAAACCTTTAGATTAGAGGTGGTGTGTCTGGCTTCTGAACTGTGGCCCACAAAAAGCACATTTGTCTCCTGCCTAGTCCTGCCAGCTCCTCCCTGTGTGCTGGGGGTTTGTGCTGCATGTCCCTGTGTCTGTCTGCTCTTGCTGTGTGGGACTTGAGTGGCACCTTGGCCTAGAAGGTGTCTGAGCTGTACCTATTGCTCTGCCCAAAGAACCCTTTCCAGATATTTCGTCACAAACCAAGCAGGACCAGGCTTCTCACAAAATGCAACTGCATCTACTAGGTGAATATGGACTATTTGCGCTACCCAATATCATTCTGAAACCCAGGGGATTTGATTTCTCTTTCATGTTCTTTTTTCCACTTGTCTAAGAAGTAAGATACTTGGTCCTTGACAGCAAAGGGATCCAAATCCACATCTCTCGCAGTGCAGACTGGGTTATACCAGAGGGGCAGTGTCTCAGCTCCAGATGAAGCTGAGCTGTGAGCAGTTGAAGACCTTGGACACTTGAAGACCTTGGACACTTGGAGAGGAGATTATAGAATTCTGGATTCCTTTCCCTAGTGTCAAAATGTATTTCCCATCTGAGTGAGTATGGGATACAAAGTAATTATTTAGCTCTCCAGACACTAGGTTGTCATGTGGAAAGTGGGAATGCCCTCAAACAACTGTGTTTTTAAATAAGACTGATTACTGGGTCATAGGCAGCTGTTACTAAGCTCCACCACCCAGAAATCTCGCATGTGAATGCCAACACCTTCTGGAGCCCTCTCTATCTACTTGGGAGAAGCTGAGATTGCACCACATCCTTTCAGATAATTCTTGGGGTGGTGATAGCATACATGTTGAAGGGAGAAATTTGTAGTACCTGCTTCTTTCTGTGTATCACACAAAAGCATAGCTTATGTTGAGCTCCCTTCTGGGACCCTTGCATACATAGGAAGAGTGGGCATTGCAGCAGGGAGGAAAAAACTGAGAATTGTACGAGCCTTAGAATACAAAGGTGGTAACTTAGATGCTCTGTTTCCCAAATGAGTATGTTGTCATTTTAATCAGGAAAATTATTTTTCCATGGCTTTAGTATGTATACAAAGTTGATGTTATGTGATCCTTTGCATTTGCCAGTTGTGCCTAGGCAAAGATGGTAATAATGAAGAGTTGAAAGGGTGATGAATAGTAGGCTGATAAATGTATAGCCTAGAGGGACTGTAGAGGTGGATTTAACTACCAAGCCAAGCATGGCATCTGATCAGCAGGCAAAAATGGATCAGCTTTAACTAGAATGTGTTTTGCT